AAGAAAGCCAGAGAGTTGTCCTTCGGGACATCCGTTAAAATTGGAACGATACAGAGAAGATTAGCATGGCCCCTGCCCAAGGATGACACACATAAGATGCACCAACTGCAGCCAGAAACAGAAACAGGGTCACAAACAAAATGCAGCAGATGTTAGGTGCAGCAACCATGGCAAGCAAAATCAACAAAAAAAGAAAACAAACTAAGAAAAAAAAAAAAAAAAAAAAAAAAAAAGACCAACGGCCCAATCTCTTTTTGTTTTTTTTCCCAATCTGATCGATACACCGATAAACTATTGAATACAGAAGTAAGCTCAAATCCAGGGGCGTGGTCCCACTAGCAAAGAGGATTGGATCGAATGCCTGAATGTGGACGTGTTTGTTGAGAGGTGCAGGAAATCGAGATTGAAATGCTTTTCTGCATCTCTGAATAAAACACATCGGCCCAGATGGCACTCGCTGAATGAATATCTAAATGACTTCCACTTGTTGGATTGGCAATGATCCCCCTCAATTTATTTATCAATTTATATATAGGTCGTCAATCCATGTATCAGGGCATACTCACACCTGCATTTTCAAAAATGCATCTCACCCTAATTGCGGGCAGACGTGGATGAATCGGACGGGAAGAACGTCCAAAGCTGAGCAACAGAAGTCCTTCTGTGAGTATACCCTCAGCGTGGTGCCGTGAATTGCCAGCTTGCATGGATGGACGACCTGTGGTATAAATTGACGGGATCGTTACGTGTTGACTTGATATATGACGATATATATATATATATATCATCAAACAGAGAAGCCCGACCCAGCTTTCTGGCCAGGTAGGGTGCCCCAAGTGCAAATGCAACTCTGGGGCTCGTTAGACACTCCTGGGGCGCGTAAATCCCCCAAGGAAAATTTCATTCCACCTATCCTCGGGGATGAAAACAGAAAAAAAAAGTGAAAACATTTCCTTGGGGAATCCTCGGGGAGTCCTTGGGCTGCAGCCATTTGGTGGCATTCCCCAAGGGCCGAGGTCCCTTCAAGTTGGAGGTCAAGGATCCGCGACAATCGGAGTGCCGAGGGCACCGTCGTCGGCAACAAATTTCCGTCGGCTGGTACATTGGAGTTCCTACCGGGCAGCGCACGGACATCTTGGGTCTTCAACATTCGGCTTCCAGGAATCTTACATTGGTGGCCGGCCGGCCAGCCCCCGTGGACGTCGTCGACCAGTGTTCTTCCTTGCAGTGCGTGCCACCAAACGGAAGGGGGTCGAATGGTCGGCAAATTTGAATACTTCAGCCGACCCCCCTTGCTACGATTGCCCACTGTATTCCGCGATGAAAAACGTTACAAGGCGTTTGTCCCATGCTGCGGTCTGCCATTTGCAGCTCTCTTCGTCGCGTTTTGCTGGAGGTGTACCGTCGCCGTCTAGCAACTGCCCTTCCCCACTTGCCTTGACGTCTTTCAAAGATGTGACGAACAGTTTCCCGTAACTGCGTGACTTTCTGCGCGAAGCTGCTTCACAGGTTCGGACGGGTTGGTTGGGTGAGAAGCATTCGGATGCGTCGGCTAGGCAAGTTGCATGGATGCTTCTTCTTTTTTCTTTTTTTTTTGACTTTCGGACCAAGGCCGGGAAACTCCCAGGTAGGCAGTTAAAGTGACTGCGCCGTGGCGAGCGCGAAAGATAACTGTTGCCATAGCTTCTTTCTTGTTCTGCTGTGGGAACTGGGAATTTTGGCGCGATCATCGCGCGGGAACGTCGCTTTTGAATTTTCGAACTGATATCGAGCCCCCGCGGGCTCTCGGATTTGTTTCCTTTCGGAATTTCTTTTCGTAATTAGGATTTAGGCTAGGAATTTAGGCACCTCGCAATGTGGCTACACGACGCTTCTTGCTTGCGCGCGCCTTACCACAGCAGGATCTGGGCTCTGACTTCTCCGCACCTTAATCCTGCGTGTAACCGTAACTTTGAGCGAGTGGAATTGCAACTGTAATTTCCTCATTCTTGATGCTTTTTTCCCTGCCCAACCTTCACCCGCGCATGCACGCTTCCTTCTCTATTCTAATTGGTTCCAACGTTGCATGACTGGATCGATGCGAGGAGAGTGGCTTCGTCCCCCGCGCCGCGGCCTGGCCTTGCAGACATAGGCACTTCCTCTTTTCCCCTGCTCAGTCATAATCCCGGGTTTTTCGTGCAAGCATGCATGCTATAAATTTCGCCAGCGCGATTAGTTTGCTCTCTATGAATTTGGAAGTTAGCGCGGTCAGTGAGGATCAGCTAACGAGTAAGCTCGGAAGGTGAGTACACGAGAGAGTTGGGCGATCCGACGAGCTGGTGCCGAGTATGTAGGGTTGACGTGCGGGCCGCGACGGACTGTGGCGCACGGGCGAACCTAGCTTGTATGCTCGGACCAAGCGGGGTGACAACCCTGTCATCTATGTAATTTTGACAATTGGCGTTAACCATCTTTTTGCTCGCGACTATCTCCGACTTTCTCTCTTCTTGGTGAATGACGAATGATTTGTTTTGTCATCTGAGTCTCTGTTTCTCTGTGACCTGTCGGATTGGGTACGATGATTGGCCGAGTATGACTTCTGTGCACTCTCGGCTATGATGATGGGAATGAAAGATTCGTTTGGCGGAAGTGACGTGATGTATGTGTACTTGCCGACTT